CCACCGTGGCCCGCTCATGCTGCTGCTGCCTCTCTCGGTCCTGGCGCTCCTCCCTACGGTCCTCCAATTCCTTTAGCTGCAGCTCGATCTCCAGCCGTCTCAGCTCTGCCGAGGGAGACCCCACCCAGGACGAACCGCTGCTGGCAGAGCGTGTCCCGGTGGGCACCGCCTCGGTCTGGCGGACTCCAGCCCTCCCTCCTGCCTAAGATGCTCCCGGGGGGTCTGGCTGCTCCCCGCTGGGACAGGATCCAGGCCCCTGGAATGGTCACTCTCTTCCAGCCGGGCAGTCAGCTGGGCCTTGGCTGCTTTCCCCCCGGGCAGGCCCCTCTCTCTGCACAGCCCCACAAGGTCTGCCTTCAGGAGCTGGATGAGGTCCATCTTCCCGCTGATGCTGCAGCACCCCACGACTCCTAGGAATCGCCTAGCTCTGCCTGTAGCACGCCTGGCTCTTGCAAGCCCATCCACGGGGTGCAGTGCATCCTGTGACGGTGCATTGGGGCCCCCCCATCTGCAGCCAGACGTGACTCTCATCCAGCCAGTAGAGTAGAAGGGTTATTGGCTCTGAGACCCGGCGCAGCTTAGGGTCGATGTTACCGTCGGAGACCGGTCAGTAGCCTTATTCCTCTGGGGGGCAGGGGGATTCATGGGCCCCTGATCCCGCCCCCTCCATCCTGGACTTAGTCTGGTCTCCTCATGCTTCCCCCAGTCAAGCCTGACCCAGCTCCCAGACCCTGCCCCCCAGCCAGTGGGCGTCTCCACCTCTTCCTTTGTCTCTCCCTCTGGGAACAGCCTTCTTATCTGCTCAGGCTGGGCCCAGGTGTCTGGGTGAATCCTCAGGAATCTAACAGCCAGGAGAGAACACTGGGTTACAAGACAGACAGCACCCCCACACCGTCACAGTATAGGTCATTGTTTCTGTGATAGAAAAGGGGGTGTCCGGCCCTTGGTGAGGTCTGCGGGGCAGCCGGGGGGACGCTCTGGCTGCAGGTCAGCCCCAGAGCCCTGGTTCCCACGGGCCAGACGCGACCTTTGGCTGGGCTGTTCTCCCCGCCAGGGAGGTGCAGGATCTGGGGGCTCATCTCGCAGGGCCGGGCTGAGGAGACGCTGAGCGAGGGAGACGGGATGTGAGGGGCGGAGGGGGCAGGAGGTAGCTGGACAGGCAGGGAGCGGGGCAGGCCTCTTTGGGGTGCTGGTGGCGGGTGTCCCCCGGAGGGCCTTGCCGGGACAAGGGCCCTAGAACTGGAGCATGGGCACCCTGGTGTCTGCCCGGCGCAAGGAGCCCTTCGGGCTGCTCTGCCCCCGGGGGGCGCTGAGCCTTGTGTTCCCTGTCCCAGTACACACAGATCCCTCCAGCCCTGCCCCATCCCTGCTCCAGCTCCCTCGCAGCCTCCCTGGCTGGCCATGCTCTCGCTCTGGGAGCCCTGGGGAAGATGAGCTGGGATTCAGGGTGGGTGAGAACGGGGCGAGCGCCCACAGGGAGCTGGGGGCAGCACTTCTGTCCTCAGCCTCCACGGCACCAGGTTGGGTTCATTGTCTGGCTCCACGCTGTCGTTAGCGAGCAGGAGTTCAGCAGCCCGCAGATCACGTTCGTGGGGCTTGTGGCTTGGGCTAACCCGGCTTCTGCCTGATTCTCGTGACCTCGGTCCTCACATTCGTTCGTTGAAAGGGACTTGCCCGGCTGTCCCGGAGGTGCTGGGTGGCTGGGCAGCGTTGTGAACGTGCATGGACCTTTTGCCTCTGAGCTTATTCCTGGGGTTAAATGTTTCCGTCCACTAAGCGCAACACTCCGGCAATGGGTGGAGAGGGGAGCTCTGAAGGGCTTTCCCTTCCTGCCCCTGCGAATACGGGAGAAGAACCTGGGGTGCGGGAAGGGGGGCTCTGCCCGCAAGGGCAGGCTGTGCAGTCAGGAGCAAACACAGAACCCCCGTGGTCTCCTGTTTGCTCCCTGCCTCAGCCTTTGCACACA